AGCATGCTGGCTGGGGAATTCTGGGAGTTGAAGTCCACATCCCTTAAAGTTGCCAAGGTTGAGAAACACTGGTCTACATAATCGCTAACGGAGCTGTATAAGGGAAAGAAATGTGAATAATATTTTCTTTTCCGGTATGTCCTTAATAGGGGGTTCCTAACCTTTTCATCTTGAAAGCAGCTTTTCAGCTTCTCATTTTCATGAGAATTTAGGTTTTATAATACTACACATCCAGATAGGGTTCTAGGTTCCATGCCCTGTGATGGGACAGTGAATTTCTCTCTCCCTTTTAAGTGCTGCTCAGTCAAAGCTTTAAAGGAAGAACAGCTCAGGAAAGGAACGAGTTTTAGTGGTATTTTTAAAGCTACATCTGAAGCACCATGATCTGCGACACAGTCCCACGATCAACAGTTGTTCCAGACTAAAAATGTTTGTTTTACATATTACCTTGCTTGGTTTTGAAATCATATTAAAAAGTTGTATAGTGAAGAGAAAAAGGAAGGGAAGGAAAAACCCTATATAAAACTGCCTGGAGAAGGAGGAGGAGGAGGAGACCATTCCTAGGAAATGGGGGGGGGGGAACCCTGAGAAAAGGCATAAGCAATTAATCAAGCATAAAAACTTTTTAAAAATCCATCCAATTTTGTATCCAGCTCTAATTGCATCTCAACTCATTATCTCATCTCTCTCTTGCTTTGACTATGAGAGCCAGTGTGGGGTCATGGGTATAATGGTATGCAGGAAAGGCCTTGGGAGACTGGGCCAAGAGACGCTGCCAAGGGAACAGTCAGATAAGAGACAGCATAGCCCGTAGCTGGATAATGGGTGGGGCAAGAGGCTCAGAAGGGACCCTTCTTAGTTTCTCAGGCTATAAAGGAGATGGGGAGAGACTTGCACTTTAGACTTGCAAGCTTCTGTCAATGTAGCTTTACAATAAAGTAGAATTAGCTCCCCTGGTTGTGATTCCTATCTGGTTTACCTCATGAGGCCGACATCAATCTTGCAAAGTACAATCTGAAAGTACAGTCCTCCCCCCACCTCCTTTACAGCCCGAGAAACTAGGGAGGGTCCCTTCTGAGTCCCTTGCCCCACCCACTGTCCAGCTGTCTCTTAGACTGTTTCCCTGGCAGCGTCTCTTGGCCCGGTCTCCCAAGGTCTTTCCCACATACTGTTACAGTGCTGGACTAGGAGTGGGGAGACCCAGGAAGCCAGTGGGGTGACTGGGCCCAATCATCCTCTCTCTGCTCTAGCCTGGGAAGTCGGAAAACATCTGTCCACCAACCCACATAGGACTAGCCTGACAGATCGCAGTCCATGCCCTTCAAAGAAGAGGTCTTCATCTGGCAGCGGACTGATTTGGGCCGATAATAATAATATACTTCAGACCATTAAAATTATCTACCATTCTTCTGGGCAAGGCAGGAACAATAACCCAGCTGTATTATTAGCAATGCTGGAAATTAAGAGTGAAGATAAAGCATAATAGATGAAAAGCCAGACCAAGCTCCCATTCACGGCATTAAAGAAGGCAAATTCAATTTGCATGACATGGTGCTCCCACGAGCAACCAATTCACATTTGCAGAGAAGAAAAATCTTCAGGGAAAATACAGTAGCCATGCCCTTTGACCCAGCCCATTACTGGGTAATCACAAAGCCTGTAATTCCCACTTTCACCTTGTACCTTTTCTTTGCAGTGTCTGCTATTGTTCCTTCAGCCTGGCCAACATGGTAAGTTGCTGCTGAATTAAAATGCTGCTTCTCAAAGTCTAGGGCAGTGTTGCTCAACTTGGCAACTTTAAGATGTGTGGACTTCAACGCCCAGAATTCCCCAGCCAGCATTCAACCGGTGCAGCTTTCAATTCAACAGGTGCAGCTTTCCTCAAGGTAGCTCCGAGCCCCCTTTTTATGGCAGAAACCCTCTTTTGAAGAGAGGTTGGTTGAGATTAGAAAAGCACTGAGGACAACTACAATCCTAGTTTCTCTGCTCCAAATCATACACACACCCGTGCACCCCCCCCCCCCCAGACACATCTTTTTCTCCAGAAGCTTTAAAAATACGTCCGCCGCTGCCAGCATGCATTTGGAGCCTCAGCATGTGTGCAAGAACCGTTGCAGGGAGAGACATCAAGTAGGAAAAACATGAGCCATACTTATTTATGTGTTATTTATTTTACTGGGGTTATACGCCACTCCAGTCGGGAATTATTCAAACCAGCCTCTTTTTCCAGTCCCATTTGCCATCTCACAAAACAGCTTGTCCATTGTTCATTGATGGTGATGGGGCAAGGAAAGCACGCTAGCATTTTGGGGACCATGCTTTTCCAGCCTCTTTTTCTAGTCCCATTTGCCATCTCACAAAACAGCTTGTCCATTGTTCATTGGTGGTGATGGGGCAAGGAAAGCATGCTAGCATTTTTGGGATCATGCTTTTCCATGCTTTGCTCTTATTTATCTTTCTTTTGGGAGTATGGGACGTTTAGGCTCATGAAAGTAGGAGACTGATAGCAATGCCTCCACTTTCCACAGGAACATTTGCTCTTGTCCTATATCAAGTTAGACCATAGATCTATGTAGCTCAGCACTGTCTACCACAGTTTAGTGCCCTCCAGATATTTAAAATTACACATCCTAGAATCCACCTCCATTACTTGCTGGAAAGCAGTAGGAATTGAAATTTGGTATGTCTGAAGGGCAAGGATCCTCTGCACTTGAGTGGCAGTTGGTCTTCAGGATTTCAGAACACCTAGAGATGTCAGGAACCAAAACTTGGTCTTTCTGCATGCAAGGTGTGAGCTTTGCCTCTGAACGACAGTCCTCTCAGTAGCTGTTTTCCCAATAACCCATACATCCTGAAGCTGTTCTCTCTTCTACTAAGAAAATACAGATAGATACAGATACAGAAACAGAAACAGAAACAGATACAGATACAGATACAGATACAGATACAGATACAGATACAGATACAGATACAGATACAGATACAGATACAGATAGATGAATTCTTCTTCCAGGGCAAATATGCCATCTTTGGATGCATCTGTAAGTGGAAATGCTGCTGCTGCAATCACAGTCTATAACCCACCCTATGCACACACAGTGTTGTTCTTTTCTTTAAGAAACAGAGATGTGTCCACACATTTCTACTCTTGTGCTTAGTGTGGTCCTGAAAAGGCCATTTGAAACATGTAAGGCTTTTGACTGAGTCTGACTATTGGTTTGGTTGGCTGAGTAATACCTGCTCTGAGTTGTAGAAGTACTCCATGTCATAGTAGGAAAAGGCCTCTCTGGGTTGTTTCCTCATTATCTGTTGTTTTCCCTTCTCCACATGTTACGTTGCTCATAGACCTTCTAGATGTTGTTGAGCTACAATTCTCAGCATTCTTTACTGTTGGCCATGTTGGCTGGTTTGCTGGGAACTGGAGTTCAGTAGGACCCACAAGACCATATGTTCTCCACTGTTACAGGGAAGACAAGGAACAACATGCAAGGAAGAAAACCACAATTAATCTATCTGGACTTTTCCAGCAATTCCTGGAAAGCACTTGAAAACTTAGATGAGCCTAGCCAACTCAGGAGAGCCCAAGATGGAACTATAATTCTTCAATCTAGCTGCAATAATGCAATGGAAAAATCAACACAGCCCTGGATGGTATTATCTATCTGGTGCTTCAGATTGTATCTTTAGCCTAACAACTTGCCAGAACAGTAAACCCAGATCCGCTCATTGTCTGCCCAACCTAGTACCTGATCCCTTCTCTTGCCTTTGACTGTGTCTTAGGCCTCCAACTGATCCATGATGACATTTTTTCTATCTATTCATTTGACCTTGATTGCCATAGGACTCAGAGCTAAGACCCAGTCTGAATCATTCTTGGACTGTTTTTAGCATGAACCAGAAAGTTGATTTGGGCTTCTTCCTCTGTAGCTAAATGGGACTAACTCTTTCACTTCTGCTCTCACAGATTGCTGCAAAGATCCTGGTCATGTTAAAGGCAAATTTGTTGTCCTCTACTGCCCTTTAATTCAGGAAAGATTGGAGATGAGAGAATGGGATCCAAACTGCCTCAACACTACAAACCTACCTTTGAGGTGCCAAAGGGATGAGCTGGAGGTTAACATTTGTGATTTCCTACCTAACTGCTCCATCTCCATGTGTACAAGTAAGGCCAAAAGTCCATACAGTCCTATCTGTGTTCTCTGCTGGAGAAAACCCAGCTGCCACAAGTAGAGAACAATGTGCTGCATAAGCAATGGAGCCCACCTTGGCTCCTTGGCTCCTGGAGATGTTCCTCCAGTTCCAAGATACAAGGAGGTGCAATACTGTAGACGCCTCTGTGAACAGGCTTTGGACAATTTGGTATGGGAGTGAATGGGTTGGCAAAGGAGAGAAAGCAGCCCTCTCTTAGAGTTCCTCAAAATCCCAAGGGTCAACACAGATGTGATCAGCAGTAGGTAGCCAAAGATGAGACTTGAGTCTGGGGTCAGATCACTAGACACCTGGCTAGGCTTTTCTAGCAATTCCTGGTCTTCTTGACACTCCAGCCTTTTTTCCTAGCTATCACTGTTTGTTCAACTACCGCCTCTGAATGACTTGTACTAGCTCAAAGGGGACACATTTTGAACTTTGAGAGCATATCATAGACATTCTCAAAGGGACTGCCACCCATGGGAAAACCATGCTCATGCAATGAATGGCTGCCATTATGAACATGCCAGCAAAATAGAAACCCATTTACAATCACCCATCTCTTTGTCTTTGGGAAAGTGGGCACATTTCCAAACAGAGCAACTTCCCATCATTTTCCTGTACAAGAATGACCCAGATAAATTCATGGAAATAAAAGTGGTGTTGGAAACTAAGATGATGATGATGGTGATGGTGATGATTTTAAAATTAGGAAGTCAGGTAGGATGGGGAGCCTGGTGGGACAAAGGGAAATGTCTTCAGATACACTGATTCCCTGGAGCACCAGCTTGAAGAACCCAAAGCTGCAACCCAGGAGGGAAGAGCTGGTGAATTTGAAGACGTTTTCCTGGGGAGTGAGAAAGGCATCATCTCTTGATTTCTGATTCAGTTGGTTCATTTTCTGCACAGAGCTGAATCCCATGAAGAGTCTGATTTCACTGGAGGGACTCAACTGTTCTGTAACTCTTAACTGGCAAGATGTAATCAACTGCTGTCGTGAAGCCTCCAGAGACCACTTTACAGTGACCCCTAAAAGCAGCTGGACAAATGCATGCTCTGTCATCACAAAGCTGTCCCCTGGGCAGGAATATAACATGATGGTGTATAGAGTTTTGAATGGAAGTTGTAGCCAAGAGGCATCCATCAACGTGACTACTAGTGAGTCTCACAATCACTACTTGCAGGCAGCAGCAATAACAACAAGATGTCTTTTTTCTGGTGCAGTGTAACTAAGGTTCTTTCCATACTGAAGTGCTGGGTCAGTCTGAGATCTGGGCTGAGCCCATTTCCCCATAATGCTGTTGAATTTGCATGAATCTTGGGAAGCCGAATCTCAGCTCCTGCTCTAGAGGAACCATTGCAAAGATGGTTTTGCACCATCTGCTTTGGAGCTGTGCAGCGGGCAGTTTGCCAGTGGCAGGAATTCCCTCCTCATCTCACCTCCCAGCTTTTGGGATTTCCCTTTCCTCCCTCTAGCCATGGCATTTTGTGGCACCTTGACATTACCCGAGTCTCCCTTGTCTTTTCCACTTATCTGGTGGGCCGTTTTGCTACTTTTCCTTTGCAGTGGCCACAATTTTGTCTTGTTTTAAAAGCCACAGGCAAAGAGGGAAGAATGAAGACAGGGAAAGAGTGATGTTAACTGTCATTTTTGGCATCTCCCCATTGGCCAATTGGATGACAGAAGGAATCTGTGCGGATACTTGCGTAGTGGTACAAAAATGCTGAAAGGATAAGAGGGGGTGATATCTAAAGTTGTGTGCAAGTGCCTACATGCTGATTGAATGGATAGCACTGATTAAAAGAGGTCAGATGATTTCTTCCCATGCTGCTGGAATTTTTCCCTGTCTCCTCTGTACAGTCATAAATGATATGCATGACACTGTGCATGGAAATTGATAAAAAAAAAAAAAGGTGGCCTCCTTCATTACATGGAGGACCATTCTAAATAAAGTAATATCCTGTAATGATATGGGAATGACCTTGGGAGACAGAAGGAAAAGCTGCAGACTAGGCAACAGCCAGATAAGAGGCAGCTTAGCCCACAGAAGCAACAGGGATGTGGCAAACATCTCAGAAGGGAGAGATGTACTTTCAGATTTGCAAGATTGATGTCAGCCCTGTGAGGTAGTCCAGACAAGAAGCATATCCAGAAGTACTAGCTCTAATTTTACTGTAAGGTTACATTAACAGAATCCTGCAAGTCTGAAAGTACATCTCTCCCCCGTCACCTTTACAGTCCAAGAAACCAGGGAGGGTCTGAGACATTTGCCATGTCCCCATTGCTTCTGTGGACTAAGTTGCTTATCTGACCATTGTCTAGTCTGCAGCTCTTCCTACTGTCTCCCAAGGTCATTCCCACATTCCATTACATGCTGTCAAATCGTATATGGGAATGGATGGATTAATTCCAAGTCTACTAGGCAGACACTACCAAAGGAAGTAAAATAAAAAGTTCTAGCTAGAGTGAAGCCAGTGTAAACATGATAGTGAAGCCTACTAAATTTCTGTCATCCCTGGCCTGTACAATAAATCAATGTTCCAGATTGGGGACCAATGCTGTATTCTAATACCCAGCTTGGTTTTCTGAATGTCCATCCTTAAGTCGGCAGAATGGTGCCACCATGCTCAAGAGCAATGGATGAGGAGACTTAGGGGAAGTCCAAGGTTGGCAAAACAAACAATCCAAACAATTCAAAGTGTTTATTTTTAAACAAGAAATCTAAGTTGGGATGGCTAATAGCATAATAAACCTTGAGCTCTGTGCCATGGAATACTTAGCTGATTGTTCAGGGAAAAGATAAAAGCAGAAGGAATGAGAGGGGAGGGAAGTAGAACAGCTTGCTTGCTTATTTATTTATTATTTCAATTTATATATCCTGGAAATCAGCATGGCTGGCTGCTGTTCTGAACCAGCACATTCCATGTTGCACCCTTTTGTTGTAGTTCCCAGCTGTGATATTGAATGAACAAGGGTTGGCTGAGCTGCTCAGTACAGAAAGCTGTGAGAAATGCCTTGTTCTTTTTGTCTCAGAGCCTTCACTGGTCCTGAACCTCACAACAGAGAATCGCACAGTGGATTCCCTGCAGATTGGATGGAAGCCACCCAGAGACCCTCAAAGACACACCTACACCTATTGGGTCTGCTTGATCAACTGCACCATTGCCAGTGAAAACCAATTTCTTGCAGAAGGACTGGAAGGAGGAACAAAGTACAGAATTGAAGTCAGGGCCATCACCAAGAGCAATGTTTGTGGTGATGCAGTGATCATAGATGCCATCACAGGTAGAATGGATTTAGTGCTGGGGGAGGTGAAGAAGGTGATGGCTTAGTATTCAGAAAATAAGATAAAGGGCCTTGTGGGCTGTCACAGGTAGTCCTCACTAAACAACTGCCCTGTTTAGCGACTGTTCAAAGTTACAACAGCACTGGAAAAGTAATTTTATAACCAGTTCTTGAACTTATGACTGTCGCAGTGTTCTGTGGTCACATGATCACCATTTGCACACTTCCAACAAGCAGAGTCAATGGAGAAGCTGGCAGTAAAATCACAAGTCACAGTCACGTGATGTCTCACTTAATGACCACAGGTGCTTTGCTTAATGACTGTGACGGGAGTGAGGTCATGAGCCCATCATGGGCATGTGATTTCCCACTTAGTGACCACTTCACTTAGAGATGGAGTTGCCAGTCCCATTTGTGGTTGTTGAGGACTACCTGTAGTGGATTTAGCTACCGATTTAATTTCTCATCAGGGCTTTATGTAACAAGAAGATAAATTAATAATGGCCACTGAGTTGATGCTTAAAGCTCTAGGCCAGAAGCAAAATATCAGAGGCAGGCTCTGGTGGATCCTACCCAGATACTGGAACCTTGGTGGTTGCCTTGGCATAAGAGACATCTGTAGCAGCCCTGCTGATTGCAGTAACTCTGTTCCAATTCCTGCCCATGTTCAAAGAACAGGATAGAGATATTCCAGGTCTAGGCTGAGTTATTTTCTCTGTCTTGAATTTGTCTGACGTCAGCTTTAGCCTTTGAGTTTGTCAAAAGGATTTTTAAACCAGGGACTTGGATGAGCCTGAATCTTTTATGAGTCGTAAGGGTATTTGGCTTCCTGCCACTGGGGCACCAGGTTAAAGAACTCTGCTCTTCCCCCAGCTCCCAACAGCCCTGTGAATGTAAGAGTGGAAAGTTACAGCCCTCACAGTCTTTCCATCGCCTGGAATCCTCCAAAAGACCCTAATGCAACTGACTATTTGTATAGAATAAGTTGGTGGAGAGAAAACGGGACTCAAGTGGGCAGCGACTCCATTCCAACCTCCAGTTACACCATCCGCAGGTTGAAGCCAGGAGTTCTGTACCTGGTGCAGGTGAACTCGAATATCAGTGGGATTTTGAGCAAACCTGCTGAGCATCAGACTCTAACAGGTGAGTGCAACTCTGAAGAGGGTTCGGGAACCTCGTTTGTCATCCCAACACTGAGGGGAGCCAGCTTTTTAATCCCCGCTTGGCCACAAATCATTCTGAGACACCTTGGATACTGGCAACTCTCCCAGTTACTGCCCCCCCACCTCCCAGGGTTGTTGTGATGATCAAACACTGTACAAAATAGGCACGATGTCAGTGCAGTAAATGAGTGAATACTGGAGTCTTCCCAGCGTTCCAGTGCAGATTTACTTCTGGTTCCAAGTTCTTCATACCAACAGGCCTTCTCCCACCCGGTGGCTGCCCATTGTGTCAGACTACAACTGCCATCATCCCCAGCCTGTACAGCCAGTGGTTGGGAAGGATGGGAGCGGTCTCATGCATAAAGAAGGCAGGAAACCAAAGGCGGGTTTAAAAGAGAGCTCTGCCTTTTATATTTTATTTTATTTTTTATTTTATTTTATTGCTTTCTTGGGTTGCTCTCCTAACCCTCTGCCTCTCTCTTTCAGCCCCACTGCCCCCGACCAATTTCCGCATCCAGATGATCAATCAAACCGTGGCTCATTTTGCCTGGGTGAACCCAAGCTCGCCATTCAGTGCCATCCAACTGCAGTGGAGTGCGCCAAACGAAGCCAGAGGAAATGAAACATACCCCAATTCTTCGGACCAAGCTGTCCTCCACAATCTCACTCCCAGCACCAATTACACCTTCACTGTCTTCAGCGCAGTTAGGAAGGATTCCCTGTCCAGAGACAGTGTTGCCTTTCAGCAGCACGGGGCCACAAGTACTTAATTTATTTATTTATACTCCACGTTTATGTAGCTGCCCATCTCACAAAGGGACTCTGGGCAGCGTACGACGATTAAAATAAAATAACAAGTGAATAAAAACAGGTATTATAAAAAGATAAAAAGTTACTATTAGAATAAAAACATTATCCCAAAATTAAAAAAAAAAATTAAAAAGCAATTTTAAAATACACAAACCCCACGGAGAGAGCAGAACATCAATTACAGTGGAGCCATCTAAGAATGT